CGCTCGCGCGCCGAGTCGATGGTTTTCGACTTTGAGAATGAGAGTTTGTGACGAACATCTCTTCATTCTGATTGGTCGGTAAACCGAACCTAAGTGGGGGAGGATGTAACGGGGTACGTAGCACTAAGTGTACCCTGGTTACATGAAGTGTGACACTTCACACTTCAGGAGTATGACATGTCATACTCCGGGATATTTGGTACAAGGTACCAAGGTCATTCAAAACCAACCATTGGTTAAATGACATTGCATTTCTATAGGTAACTGATAGTTTGTATTAACCTCAAACTTAACCTACCTATAAATATACTCAGTTTACAATCTACCTTATTTAGGTCACTTCGCTCTCTTTAATTAAAGAGAGGACCTGTGAGCTGCCGTTCACTGAGAGTTTGTATACTCTCGGAAGATAACTTCCTCTAGCGCAAGGTGCTGTGTGACCCCGTCACAACTCTGGTACCATGTACCAGATATCCCGAAGTATGACGTGTCATACTTCTAAAGTGTGATGTGTCACACTTAGTGTAACTAGGGGTACACTTGAGAATACGTACCCCGTTACAAGAACCGCGACCTTTCAGCAAGAACCATTGACAGGTTCTCAACTATTGGGCAATAAAACTGCGACAAGACACGTGGGCCTAATATATCGGTAGTACTGGTTCATACCGAACCCGTCTGAAACCAAGAAATGAATTAAAGGCGGTTATTGTGGAGTAAGTTAATAAGTTTTTCGACTAGTGAAAACGGTGCGTAGAATCTGCCCAAATCAAATCTGAAAATTTTCGTGCCAAAAATTCTGCAAAAATCGCCTAGTGTTTCAGCTTAATTTTGGCGCAAGTGGAGTCTCAATATAATCATTATTCTTGGAGTTATCCGCATTTTTGTGCTGTCACTCCGAGAGGGCTGCTATCAATAAACTTAGTTTTGTAAACTGGCAATTTCCCTTTGGCTGCTGAACCAGCCGTTTTGCAGCAAATTTATCCAAAACCGTTATATGCATTGCTTATGGGTTTTATTTGTCGCTTACACTGGATTTCGTTAAGACCATTTTTTCTGGCGTTGGTGATCAGCAAATGCGACGGCAAATTCAGTCAATTAGCTGTCGGTCCCGTAATTTATTTGCTCTTATCCTCAGTGGTGGGGCAAGCTATCCTCAAATATCTGTAAACTATTTTGATATGCTGTCTTATCCGCATTTTGCGGTCATGCCCTTACGCCATAAAATCTAATTTTTATTTTTTATCGTCTGATAACTGGCTGTACTCATAATATAACGGGGTTTTCCGCTGAATAATAATTAGTATTATCAATAATAGTTTGAGCGGTGTGGTAACTCAGTACGAAAGGACCGGTGGATAAGCTCGGAACAGTAGTTAAATTTTTTACTGGCCTCTGGCTGGATTATGGTACATGTAGGTAATTTATCTGTAGCTGCCTAATATTATCCCATAATTAAATTAAAAAAAGGGGGAAATCCTCAAGAATTTGGAATGCGACGGACGAACATGCAAACGACGATTGATTCTTTTACTCACCGTGAAGCACGCTTTCATTGATGCGAACGTTTGATAACATGCTCAATTATTACAGATCTTTAAAGTAAAATCTGTGCACACGCAAAATCTAAAATTCACAGTCTATCCTTTTTTTTCGCGCGAACAGCGAGCAAATGGAAGCCACTTCCGCCAGGTGGCCGCTGGCATCGTGCCTGGCCCACTGGGCCGCCCAGGTATGTATTAATGGTACTCGCTCAGGAGCACGTACAGATGTATTACATGTAGTATGTGCAAGGTGTTGACTAGACCCCTATCGGACCAGGATGTACCAGTAGTCTCGATTCGATACCACGTGTTAGGACGCATGGAGTCCATGATTCATGGACTCCAATGGATCTCCATGGCATGACCATCGGTTGTCAACGTCGGGTTTTCGATTTTGTCGTCTGAGTCAGACTCTGACCCTCAAGTCCCGGTTACCAAATTAAAATACTGGGCCATCTTCGCAGCGAATCGGTATTGACCGATTTGATACCGATAGCCTGGCAAGAGAAAGCACGACTACCATGATGTTACGGTACATTGGGTTGTCGTCGACACGGTTTTGACTGTTAGGTTGTCATTTGTGAATGTTGGGATGTTCGCCAAACAATAAAATCAAACCTGTACAGTACATGTCCTGACAGCTGGAGCGGTGGAATGCCGGCATCGTCCGTGCCTCTCTTCGTCGCGTCGAGAACCAAACAGATAGTGGACACATATGAGGTGATACAGTATCGCTTGTACATGAGCTTAATTACCGGGTAACTACATGTATTGTATTCAAAAAGTTGTCTGGCAATCAACACCAGTAGCGGGTAAGCGTCGTTCAGCCGCCAACTGCCATCCTAACAGCGAGAAGTACCACTACCACTTTTGATTTCCTTCGAGAAGCAAAGCTTAATTCAGGATGCGCGTCTCTTTCGCCCTTGCTCTTCTAGCCGCTCCCGCGCTCGTCTCTGCTACTCTCGCTCCTTGCCGCACCAATAGCAAGGGCAAGTGCCCGAGTCTTTACAACTGCCGAGAGACGAAGGTGTCCACCGCCATCCAGGCGGCTGAGTGCTCGCACAACACTCGTACACACGACAAGCAGACGTTTGCTGTTTTCGTCCAGGACCATCAGTATGACGGCAACCACGGCTACCCGTATGGAAACTGCACTGCGTACACGTGCCACGTGCCCACTCCGAAGCAAATGAAGAAAAACCCCGACTGCTGGACGTTCTTCTGGAAGTAGGTTTATCCTGGTTCTATACCAAAAGTGAAATCGTTTCTTACTAACGCGCGCATGTGAATGAACAGTGGTAACGGTACCGACAGCGGCGTCGGCACCGGCTGCATCAGGGACCCTGGAACGGGCCAGTGTGGCTGCGAAAACTCCAAAGACGGCAAGTTTATCGCCGGCAAGACGGACTGCAAATAAATCGACCTGCGTCCCTAAGCTTACTGGTAGACTACCAAAGGTAGTTTCATCGTCGCCAAAGATCGGAGCAAAGTTCCACTATTAATAACTTGTCGCTGCTTTGACGTAAAGTCAAAGAACATGTATGTCATTCCCACACTTTTTATGTCGGCTGAACTGTTACATTAAAATGTACATGTAACACCAGTCATGTCCAGAATTCTTGTCTTCATGTTTACTATAAATATCACTGTACTGTACATCCTAGATTTTTTGTCTCTTTTATTTCAATGTTACGGTAGTATCAGAAATGACACTCCAGCAATCATTCCTGCGGTGCCACTGCGGCCATTTCACAATCTAAAGGCATTTCCGCGCCACCATGACGCCCGGCCTGTTCTCCACACGCTCGATGCGGTCGCTTGTAGCCCTCACGCTGCTCTCTGGCGGCGCCTGCGCTCTCGATGAAGCCAACGCGTAAAAAAAGTTTCTCCCTCTGCATGTTGCAATCGCATCCACTAATTTTCCTCTCAACCAGCAAAAACTTGTCACGGTCGCTACGTGTGTTCGTCACCGGGGGTCAAGTGGTCTGGGACTACCGACTCCACTTTAGAGGCACGGAGAGAGTCGACCCAGACTATCGCCCCAAGTTGCAGCATCTAAACCGACGAATCGCCCAGAGACTTTTCCACTTGTGCTTCCAAAATGGGGGGATTTACACAAAGTTTGGTCAGCAGCTAGCCACTTTCAACCACGGACTCCCCAAGGAGTACACAGAGACGTTGGCTCAACTGCAGGACCAGGCCAAGCCTATGTCATTCGACAAGGTCAAACAGACCCTCGAGGCGGAGATGGGGCGACCCTGGTACGAGATTTTTAAGGAATTCGACCAGACTCCAATTGCTTCGGCGTCGCTAGCTCAAGTGCATCACGCTGTGGACCATCAAGGACGTGAGCTGGCTGTGAAAGTCCAGTATCCACATCTAGAGTCCCAGATGAAAGCAGACATCCAGGTCATCAAGTGGGCCTTTCAACTCACCGAGTATTTCTTTCCTGATGTCCAGATCCAATGGCTGTTTCCAGAGTTCAAGCGTGCTCTGCTGTCCGAGGTACGCTACTTCATGTACATGTATATTCAACACGTTTTGATACGGAGTGTACTAAACTGTTGCGTGTTTTTGGTCAATAAAAACTACTTAGCTGGACTTCGAAAACGAAAAGAGCAATAGTCGACGCATCGCTGGGTGCTTCAAGCACAACAGAAATGTCCACGTGCCTGTCGTGTACGATGACCTGAGTACAAAGCGAATCATGTCGATGGAGTTCATCTCCGCACCCAAGATCTCGCAGGTCGAAGCTATCCGAGAACTTGGTCTCGATCCGCCTCAAGTCGCTCGAGTGCTGTGTAAAGTGTTTAGCGAAATGGTTTTCTGCCACGGATTCGTTCATTGCGACCCACACGCTGGCAACATCTTCGTACGTCGGAATCCGGACCCTCAAGCCAAATGCAAAGAACAGCTCGTTCTTCTAGACCATGGGCTGTACCGCGAGCTGGACGGCGAATTCCGCGAAACATACTGCGATTTATGGCGTGCGATGTTGATGCGGGACAGCAATCTACTAGACGATTGCGGTAGGAGACTAAATGTTGGAGAATTGGCCAAGTACTTGCCGTTGCTGTTTACGTACCGGACGATCAACCACAAGGGACGTCTGGACGCGTCAATGAGCGAGTCGGAACGCCAGAAACTTTCCGAGGATCTCAAGAACATGCGCTTCTCCAACGTGCGTAACTAAGCCATAGAGATGCCAGAAATCCAGTTCATAGCGACTTGACTGACATTTGCTATCCAGGTCACCGACTTTCTGGAGCAACTTCCGAGGGATATGCTCTTTGTCTTTCGGACGAATAACATGATTCGGGCTCTGAATAAAGATCTGGGAGGAACCACCAGGTGCGCTGAACATGTTGCCTACCACTGTCCATGTTCCTGATTTTGCTGTCGATAAATTCAGGGAGAGATTTTTGATCATGGGGAATTTTGCGGTTAGCGGCCATTCAGCATTCTCCTCGGAAGGGACACGTACCGGGGTGGTAGCATGGCTGGGCTACTGGTGGGAGCATTTCAATCTTGTTTTCCGCCTTCGTGTGGTTGATTACGTGATGGCCACTATCCAGTATGGAAGAGGGGCAAACTTTAAGCGCGTTGGTTAGTCGGCAGCAGAAGCTTAACCGTTAGATTTCGACTGCGAAGAAATCACCGGATGAGTTTCTTCAGTGCTGCTGAAAAGCGCGGCGATCTGTTTCTGGACTGTGAAGAGCGAGGTGTACTGGGTGCGATGGGAGTGAAGTCAGCTTGTCGAGTCTCACTTGGAGCTTGGTGTAACGACGGAAGAGTGTGTGACAAAGACGGTAGAGCGGGAATTGCCACTGCAACTTTACGTCGGGGTGTCTTGGCGAAAGCTACACTCGTTGAGACTCGTCGTGGTTCGTCATGTAGTGCAAAAAGGCTACCAGTGCCAATAGAAGAGCCCATTTGAGCAGTTTGGCCCGGGGGTTTCCGCTGTCGTAGGATGTATGGCTGCTTGGAAGTCTCAAAAAATGACATGATTCTTTCTCGTAGGCGGGGAAAGTTGAACGGGACGGTAGCAAAGTAGAGTGCTCCGTTCGCGAGGCATTCCAACGCAACATGTTGCGTTCTCTCGGGTTCGTCTGCATTTCCGCCGAATAGAATCACCCGATTGCCTACAAACTGTTGAGCTGTTTGGAGCTTAGCCAAAGCCGTCTCGAGATCAGTCCCAATATCAAAGCACACCTTTGACACCACCACAAGTAACATAAAGGAGGTCAGACAGCAGCAAATACTTCGAGAAAGAAAGATACTTAACTACACTTACTAGGTCAGTGTCGAGGCCTTCATGCGATCGCAGCAGTTGAAAGAATCCACGCTCGTCTTTAGTGGTCACTACTGTTCCAAGACCCAAGAGTTGGATGTAGCGCCCAGTAACTGGTACATTTTTCGCGCTCGCAGAGCCTCCAATTACAATTTTTGGTATCTTGGGCTCCAAAGAAATGGACCTGAGCGCGACAAAACTGCTAAGTCATCTCTAAAAACTAAGTAGGTTCGGCGAGGTAAAGCACATACCTTTCCATGTCGACGCGTGCGCCAACATTTTGAACAGGATCTTCCATTTCAAACTCGATTGCAACATTCAGAGCGTCACGCGCAGAGTATTCCTCAGACATATCGTGAAGGTTCTTCTCGCCTGCAGAAGTATCAATCGAAAGTTCCTTGTTTGGACGACCATGGCGTGAGGGGAGCGTCGACTTGTTGCGCTGGGCATCAAAAGGTTCAACTACATCTACTGCGTCCGTTGCTTCAACTGGAGGTCCAAGGTGTGTCATTGTACTTTGGTTGACTGCTTTATTCGCTGATACCTCAGTCTGCACGTGGCCAGCTTGAGTAGTGACGATAAGCTTGGGCTTACAAACTGTAGGTGTTGATTCTTCTTTTTGATGACTCCCGCTTGGTGACTGCCCGTCTTCCATTGGAGTGGGAGATTCTCGAAACTCATGAGAGCCAGAAGAAGTGGCAGGGGGTTGAGAAGCTGTCTGCGGCTCGAGGAGTTTTTTCTTCTTTTTGGATTTCTCGTTCTTCTTTTTAAAGTCACTCGTGCCGCGGTCCAGGTCATCAGTCACTAAGGTATCCAATTGATCTGGAAGCGCATGGGGTAACAATACTTCCTTTGGATACGACAATTTGCTTTGGGTTTCCTTGGAAGTGTCAACAGGTGGTGGCATTGACACACTTGTTGCTCGACTCGGTTTCCTATGCTTAAAACTTAAGTTTTTCTTCCGAATTGGTGTGCTGGTGTCTAGAGTCACTTTTTCTTCTTCATCGTCATCTTTGGCCAAAAGGGACAGAAACTCTTCGTCTCCGTGATTGGCACCAAGCAGGTTTACTTCGTCAATTGACTTTAGTTCGCAGAAATCGTGCTGGATATAATCAGTCACTTTGTGGCCCTGTACCATACCGTCCATCCAACGTTGAGCCTCTTGTACGATGGAATTACCCGTCCCCGTCACTACAGAGGCGAAAAATCCGTCGTACACTTCTTCGACAGCTTCCTCGTCATCAACAAGTATTCCATGCTTACTCAACTCCAACTTGATCTGCTCCAACATGACAGCTGCCAGTGCTTTCAGGCTTTCTCCGTCTCGTAAAACTAGGAGATCATACAAAGCATTATACCGGTCGCGGACTGTTTCGTCTGGGAGCTTTGCGACTTCGACATCAGCTCCGAATTTGATTAGTTCGTTTCGAATGGCTGGTAGTTCTGTGTGCCGTTCAATTGAAATCGCTTTTTCGATCAAAAACGTCGAGCGCAAAGCGTTCACGACATCTGCATTAGCGGTTTGTAGATCGTAGATAGTATTTATCGGCTGAATGAAGCCAGCACTGCACTCGCTCGCGCCTCGATCTCTGCCATTCACTTGAGACTGAGAGTTGTTTCTGCTGTCGGGTTCACTAGCAGTCCTTGTACTAGATCCAGCATTCTTCGAACTGTGAAAAAGACGAGGAGTTGGCGTAGATCCGCCCGTGATGGAGCCACTCCACGCTTTGTCATCGACAGTAGCCTGGGCCTGCCTTAAAAGAGCATCACTTCTACTTGATGCCCTGGTTCCGACGACATAAGGGTTAATATAATCACCGTTGATTCCAGTTCCAACAGATATTCCGCCAGAACGGTCGCTACCAGCAAAGCCAACATCACCAGGTTCTTCACTGCTTTCTTCGGCCTGTTGATGGGACGCCACAACATTCTTGGGTGGTCTACGCAGTACGTTATTGTCGAGAACATAGTTAATATTTTCGAATTGAAGAGCAATACTTTTAAACATTTCCAGAAGAGTCTGCAGATCCTGCCCAATCTTTCGCATTTCGCTGAGGCTGTTGGGTACGACACCTCCGAAATTTCGATGAATGAAATCGATTCGATTCCGCTCTACAACTCTGGGGTCTGCTCGTGCTAAGTCTCCGACTGTAGTCACTCCTATAGCAGCCACAACACGAGCAACAGAAACGAATCTCGGGACAGTTCTCAACGGAATAGATTTCACCACGACTTCGGGTTCAAAATTATCAGACAGGGAAAGCTTGAGCTCGGCCCCATCCATAAAAACGGCAACGCGTCGTGTAATACGAAGAGCTAGTAGATGCAAGAAGCGTTCGTAGGTGGCCTCCTCCACATCGCACGTCCAAACGTCCACCAATTCGAATACTGCAGCAAAGAACTGCTCAAAGCTCAAAGCATTCCCGTGGTGACTGTCCACCTCCCAGTCGCATCGAATCTGTTTGTGAGCAATCTCCAGCACGAAGTCATCGCGTAATACTTTGAAAACGAGCAGCATCAGAGCCACGTAGTCCTGTTCGTCTAGAGCTTCAATCGGAGGAAGTAGGTGCTTATTTTCACTACCTGCAGCTGTGCGGTGAACACTTTGTCGTCTTGTGCGTTCATCACCCTCACGTTGCTGTTGGCGCACTCGTTGAGCCATTTCCGCTCGTTTCTTCCCTCCTGCCACTTCCCATAGAAACTCAATTCGAGTTTTGACAGCTTCTGAGAAGCGCAGAGCTCGTCGCTTTGCCAGTGCACTCGCTTCATTGAAATTCGTGTCGCCTTGGAGATGGAATGGCAAGTCGCTAGAGCTCACCGACAGGAATGTCGAGCGTTGATGGTCGAATTGTGCATCTTCTCGCGACTCAGAGCAGCCTACACACTCGAGGCTAGTCAGTATCTTGAACGATGAGTGCTTGTCAGACAAAGATTCCTCTCCAGACGCAGCCTCGATACGCTGGTTGAGCTGCAGAACAAGATTGAGATCGTTGAAAATCTCGTTGGCAGCCATCCGAAGTCCTTTAACTCACTATGCTGATATGGCTGGCAAGAATAGCCGCGAATTATGCAACAATGTGATCTCTCCACTCTCTCCACTGGGTGGGTGAGGTGCCAGTGGTTTCAAGGAGGAAGCTATAGTTACACTTCTCAACGGAAGACTGGAGCGAGATTCGTCTTGTGCAGGATCTCGCGCGAAAGAGGACGACATTTTGTCGCAGTAATACCCCATCCTAAGGCCATAGCAAATAAACGCACACCACTACGCGACGTCCACTCCGACAGGATGCCGCGGCTATTCAACTTTTCGCTACGCCACAGTAGCGACAAAAGCTTTTCCGGTACGAGCAGTCGGTCGGGCATTTGAAAATGGCTTTTCGACTACAGGCTCTGTGACGGTTTACTTACTAATTATCCTGCTTGCAGAGGCCATTATCGACCAAATGTGCCAAGACCTTGCGGCCGAATCGGATGTTATTATCGCACAAGCCAAGAATGCTCTAATAAGAGTGCAGTGCTACGAAGGATGCCTTCACCTCATCCAAAAGGCACGTATAAAGGCGATACAGCTCAGCAGGTGTAATGAACATTAGCGCTTACCTTAGTATCACTCAGACCATTCGCGAACCGAGTAATGAGGGGCTGAAGATGGAGCTTATAATGAGGCTAGTGCCAAATATTACCGTGATCCGAAGTCTGTACGACCTCGCCATCGATACCGGTACGACTATTCATCGCTGTACGTGAGGAAAGGCAAACGACACTAACAGTTTGCATTCGCTTTGAAGAGACGATATTTGCGGCACTTGTCCAGATTTCTAGTCAAAAATGTGTGTTGCATCTCGATTACTGATGGAGAATGCATACCACTGATTCAATGCGCATAACGTTTTTTTTTCATTCAGCAACCAAGAAGGCTGCAGGTTTCCTCATGGAGAAGATCGCGAGTCTGGTAGACTTTGCAGTGAGTTTTGATAGTCTGAAGGCGAAGACTCCCGATATTCAGAACGACCTCAGCCACTTTCGACGGTTTGTAGCGGTTAACGCCACGTTGTCAAACCAACTAGAGAGGTTTGTGTTTCGCTCCTAAGCATGTAAAACCCTCCAGCTTCGTGTCCTTACCACTAAATTGTTCATGTATATTCGACAGTCTCACCGACGCCCCGCTGAATGCCATGTCATTTTTCGTGGCCGATCATTGTCCAATGCTGAAGGTGCTGATCCGAGCGATCGAGTGCGCCATGACGAAAGAGCCGTCCGCTGTAGACGTATCAGCCTTCCTGGCAAATTCCCGTTGTTCCTCGATGACAGGTAGCAGGTAGGTGGCTCTTTACTCCAGTTTTTGTTTTTCGTGAGATCTAACTTTGTATACATGGCAGACCAAAAGATGGGCGTCCTATGATGAACTACCTTCGGGCTATGACTGGAGCTATCATCCTGTACGACCATACAGCGGCTCATGGAGCGTTTGGATCTAAATCGGAAGTGAAGGTACGAACGACCCCGTTGCCGTCCAAATTTACTTGTACTTATCCTTGTTTTGTGCGTACAGATCAAGCGCTGCGTCAAGGAGCTCGTGCAGTGGAAACAGAACGGAGCAACAACGGAATTGCTCGACACCATCAAGTACTGCAGTCTACACTACAATGACCCGTCAACCCCTGAGAAGATTCGGACACTAATGAATAAGTAGCACGCTCATGATACGTTTTTCTCCTACATTTGTTTACGCATGGTGTAAAACTTGTAATTGTGGCCCACCCTGACGTAGCTCCAATAGTACCCCACCGAAACTTGTCCAATCGCCTGGTACCACTGACGAAGTTCTAGAAATTCCCTGTTGAGGTGTTTACTACATGCATATCTGACTTCACTGTCAGATTCTAGACTCGGAGTATTAGAGTACTATACTCGCTCACAACATCAGCTGATATTATTAAATAACTAGCCGAGCGCCGCCGCTACGCGGCGGTAGTTTAGGTTTAGTTCTACTTGTTTTGGCCTTCCCGCCTCCGCTACGCTTCGGCGGGTTAAGTCACCCCTGGGACGAACCGAACCTTAACCACGGTTCTACTGTTTCTACGAACCCGAACTGGGCAGGGAGCCTGTTGAAAGATGATGCACATGCGCGGGTTCACTCTGGACGAGGGAGCGACGAGCAGCTGCTACTGCCGGAGGTTTGTGGCTGGAGTGTGGTACGTATGGAGTGCGAACGTGAGGCTGTGAGACCTCCACGTGGAAGACAGTAAAGATAGGAAGAATAGGAAGAGTAAGATCGAATCTCACTCTCCCTTTTGCGTTGGAATCCACGACTGCGTTGCACACGAAGGCGCTGACCCGAGGGTCGAGCACTTCGAACAGGTTTTGAGCCTTTTGCGTACAGCTGTAGGTAGTTGTTGATCTAGGCCGTCAGTTTTGGAAGTGAGATGGCATCGGCCATCTCTCCATTACACCCCTCGGCTTCACCTATCGCACGCGGCCTCTTTCTTCTTGAATGGCTAGGACGAGCTGCTGCCATCGCTACCAATAGCAGAGAGCTACACCATTATTGACCTATCATTTTACTTCATTTCTCTGCATACAAACTGAATGATATTGCGGCGCAACACTCCCACTTAAGATGCTCGCGTTCTCCATCATTTCTTCGTCACTTAACGTCTTCTCATTGTCACTCAAGATCCTTCTCGAGGGATGGTTTGTCACCACCTTGGTCCCAGATTTGCCTTGTCGCAGAACCCAAAATCTGATCCAATACTTTATCTTATATTCTAAAGAGACTTACTCTTTGTATTGTTTGTTGCCGATATTGGACTGAGCTCTTCACTCGCTCTTTTTCTTCCGAGCTGCACAGGTGCGGGTCCCGACGAAAGCCCTTCGGGGGGGCATCCACAAGCTGCTTGTATCCTTCTTCGGCGACAGCAGACCGGCCTAAGCCACAGCGGCCATTCAGGTCCCCGCCTTTTGGCACCTCAAACGGTCAGCCAAGCGCCCATGATGTGAGCTCTGCAAGTAGAAAGTCCGATCATTCGGCTACTCGTGGGTGTCTAGTCTTAGACCAGTTGTGCCTTTCAGCGGCGGGAATTGAGAGAGTCAGGAGTGAAATTAACCGAAAGTTTGAGTAAAATGTACTCAAGTCAAGTGGCTAATAGCCTGGACCTGTTCAATTTCCAAACTTAGGGCTAGGTGACCATTAAACTTAAGGTTTTAACCTTAAAACTAGTCTGTAACCAGAACCCTTTCCTTAAGGCCTTCCTTTACTGTAATCCTTTTCCTAAACGTCTTAATAATTCTCTTAAATTGACAAGAACTTGTGTTTACACCAAATGACCGTCAATCTTTTATTTGAGGGACCTAACCTTATTTGAGGCGTAAAACTAAATTGGAGGCTGATGATTAACCCAACTCTTTTATCCCCATCATGAGTTTTTCAAACTGTGTTTGGCTTAATGGCTTCGTAAGGGCATCAGCCAACATGTCGTTGGTGCTACAGTAATTCACAATGATACTTTTGTCCTCATGTTTGTCACGGCATACAGATGCCTGATATCAATGTGCTTGGTAGATGAGTGACTGCAAGGATCCTTAATGATACTTATTGCGGCAGTATTATCACACCAGCATTGGGTGGATAGTACTTGGCCGTAGCCTAATTCTTTCAATAGTAGACTCAACCACATCGCCTCTCGAACACCTTCACTAGCGGCTACTAATTCAGATTCTGCTGTATGAATACTAATACAATCTTGCTTAATGCTTTTCCAAGAGATGCATGCACCAGCAAGTATTGATACATATCCTGTGATTGACTTCCTTCCTTCCGATGCATTCGCGAAGCTCGCGTCTGTGTATAGCTCTAACTTAGTGGTACTATTTCCATTGTACTCAATGCCATACTTCGACGTTCCTTTCAAGTACTTTAGTACTCGCTGAGCCGCCCTTCAATGGGTCTTATTATAGCAAGATCGATATTTACTAAGCTCTCTTACAGCATTAGCAATATCAGGTCTAGTACCTCGGACAAGATACATCAGTGAACCCACTAAACCTCTGTAATCGAATGGTTGGGCCGCTATCTGTTCTGGGCTCATATCCTTTTCCTTTTCTAATATAACACTTTTCGCTTGTGGTGTGGGTTCTGTACTACAGTCTCGCATTTGATACTTTACCAGAAGATCGTTGATGTACTTCTGCTGTGAGATTCTGAGTGTTTTCTTTTGTGAATCTCTTTTGATCTCCATTTTTAGCAGGTAATGCAACTCGCCCAAGTCTTTTATTGTAAACTTTGCAGACAGTTTAGCCTTCAGATCGCTGATCGAGCTCAGATGTGAGCCCGCAATTGTCAGGTCGTCAACATAGACGCAGATGATCAGAATGTGTTCAATCCCTTTGATATCCCACCGTTTTAGATACAAGCAATGTTCTTTCTTGCATCTAAAAAATCCTAAACAGGTAAGAAACTCATTTAGAACGGCATACCAGATTCTGGGTGCCTGTTTTAACCCATACAGGCTTTTTCAACCTACATACAAGGTGCCCAGTGCCATGACGAAATCCCAATGGCTGCCTCATATAGATACTTTCATGTAAGATACCATTTAAAAAGGCTGTAGATACATCCATTTGGTGTAGCTCCAGTCCTAGAATTGTGGCCAATGCCAACAGCACCCGCAAAGACTCATAGCGGGCCACGGGAGCGAATACCTCCTTGTAGCCGATGCCATATAGCTGTGTGTTACCCTGAACAACCAGCCTAGCCTTAACCCCTTAGTTCCCGGCCTCAAATATGAGGGTATATTTTGACCTCGTCCCATATACAGATATAAAGGAATTTGTATGGGGTTTCAATTAAGTCCGGATATCTTGGCGCGGGATCGGGGTGGTAACAACGACTTGCCAGTGTGTATAGTACGGATTCTCCAACATAAAGGAGGGTTTATGTAGTACATTGAGACGATCATATACAACTATGCTGTATAAATAAACATAAGATATGTACTGTTTATTGATTAGCCTATCTTTGTGCTGTTGCATACGTCCAGCAGCGGTGAGTTCATTTATTATAGCCAATAACAAGAAAGATCAAGTGCCGTATCAATTGATTGCTCCTTGCATAGACATGTACGACCAGACGGCGCAACCACTACGCCTCCTCCTCCACCGCTTCATCATCTTCTTCGCTCGACTCCCCAGCACCAGCACCAGCACTTGCTCCGCTCTCGCCTACCTGCTGTCTGCGTCTCCGCTTCTTGCCTGGACGCTCCGCTGGCGCTCGGTCGCGTATCTTGTGGTCGCGTAGCAAGCGGCTCGGGATGTCATTCCCGTTCTTCCAGTCGAGGTGCCATATCTGAAAGCACGTGCGCTCCCTTATCTCCCTAACAACGTTGCAGAGATACTTCCTGCGGCACAACCTACAGTCAGCGCTATCACCGTGTTAGTATCAAGCATGAACAGCATGTACGTACCTCTTTGGCCCTGCAGAGCATTCTGGACAGTAATACTTCGTATACTTCCGCGGCACCACCTTGCAGATAGCACACACTTTGCAGGTTCTGTGGCGACGCTTCTTTCCGGTTTCAGTGTCGGCCTTGTCTGGGTTCTCCGCCAGTTCGTGGCCATCATCAATGCGGTCTGAGCCACGTCGCTGCTCCTCCCGTCTTGGCGACGCTCCTCGTGCAGGTGAAGCGGCTGTACGCTCCTCAGCGGAGGTGGATTTCTAGAATAGGAAACATAACCAACATAACACATATTAGTAAATGCATTTATGTTGCCAAACCCATCATAGCAACTTACCTCAGTCTCAGCGAAAGAGTTTTCATCAACAGCAAGTAGTTGTTCCATGAGTGTCTCGAAGAATGCGGAATGCTTCGGGGATTTGTGCCCATTGGCACGCTGGTTGTGTCGATACACAATAAAGGCGTTCACCAACGCCATGTCCAGCAATCCGAGAAACAAGGTCTTGTAGTACTTTCGTGATTTGTACGAAAGCTGCACGCTGTAGCGTTGCATCCGGAGCTGGTCGTGCACATCAACACCTCCCATGTATCGGTGATAGTCACGAACCAGCTCCGGTGCCGGTAGCTCTTTCATCTGGCCTTTGATACGCCGCACTACAATAAAAAAGCACAATAGTGAGCAATGATACATATATATAAACACACAGGCTTACTTACTGACACTGACTGTTTCTCTGCTGCCACCACTGCTCAGCATGTGGACGGGATTGCGGTCCATCCACATTGCTGCGGTTATCTGCGGAAAAAGCTTATTTTCAGCCAGCTTGATTGTCACCTGTGGTGGTACTAGCTCTCTCACACCATTCACGGTTCTGTAAGACTTGTCAGTCTTCACATCCTTCGCGTACCCTGCCATACGCGTCTGGATCGTACCCGTAATGTACATCCGTCGCTGCAACAGCTCCAACGCCATCTTCACCGACGTGTAAAACCGGTCTGTGATTACCAAACGCCACGGGGAGGTCGGTGATGGCGGGCACAGCGCGTTCATGTTCCTTAGTACGGCAGCCTCGCCGCAATTATTATCAGCAGGAATCGGAGTCCGGAGATTACTCTTAGCACCACAGTACACCTCGAATCTGAACAGTCGCACAAACGCACACGATATTAGTAAAAGTAATAAATATGTTGGATTAGGAAATTCTCCACAATGTGGATGTTTGCCCGTCCAACATAAGCA